AGATCCCCTCCCTGTCCCTGCTGGCCACGCCAGTGCTGACACAAGCCAGGATGCCGTTGCCCTCCTTGGCCCCCTGGGCACACTGCTGGCTCCTGTCAAGCCAGCTGTCAATCAACCCCCCCAGGTCCCTCTCTGACTGGCAGCTTTCCAGACCCTCCAGTCCTGAAGGGGAATCACCCCCAGTTCAGGGAAGCGTCCCCTGGGCTGTTTCACCAACATCCCCAGCATCAAGACATTCCTTCCCGGCACCAAAGGTTTGGGCCACCAACCCAGAAGACCAGTGTCACTTGGACACATTCTGCAGGACACCCACACAGCCCAGTCCTGGTCCTGCCGTACCGAGGGCTCAAGCGTGCCACGGCAGGCCCGTGGCACCCAGGGGAGCTCCTGTCACACAAGCGATGGGACCCAGCACAGGCAGGGTTGGTGCCCCAGGCTCAGGGGACGCCCAGGTCTGGCCGTGCTCACCTGAAAGCTGTGAGCTCCACCTTCTCATGGTCACTGGTCACCAGCTCAGGGATGAGAGACAGGTGGGAGATCTGTGTGGCTGCCCAGCCGAATTGGAAAATGATGATGAAGGGGAGGTAGTAGATGAAGGCTGCCCACTCTGGCGTGTTCTCCTTGCAACCCAGGCAGGGGTTGAAGATGAAGGGGAAGGACACGAGGACACAGGTGGTGCCTGGGAAGAGAGCAGAGCAGTGAGAGGCTGCAAGCCCTGATTCCCTGGGACCCCAACGGCCCCAGCTGGCTCAGGCACAGACAGACAGAGAGAGCCAGCCCTCTGCTAGGACAGGTCCTGCCCCACAGGGCTGGGGAGGCAGGTGGGCCCCTTCCCCCAGCCAGATGAGACACACGGAGCCCCAGACCTTCCCTCACCCCATCCTGTGCAGGGTGCTGTCCTTCGCTCTTGCACCCAGCAGAGAGACAGACAGACAGACGCTTGTCAGCAGACTTTTCCCTAGTCAGGTTCCCCCCTACAAAGCGTAGCACCATCTCGCACCTGCTCTGTCCCCCTCAAAACCCCCAAGGACAGACCCTCATGCCGTCACGACATGCAGCCACCAAGGTCCCCTCTCCCCATCCCCAGCATGCAGATAACCAGACCCAAGGACAGGCACCACCCCGGCACCTGCCCAGGGGTGATAAGGCAGCCCAAGAGCCAGGAGGGCTCTGGGCTGTCCCCTGGGCACAAGGCCAGCGCATCTGTCCCCTTGTCCCTTCTCCCACGGGGTGAGCAGAGGAAGCCACGCTCCCTCCATGCCTGCAGAAGTCACCTGCAGAGCGATGGCCAGGGACACCCCCAGCACGGTGTGGGGGACAGGAGCAGATCTGCCCCCCACGCCAGGCTCGGAGCCGTGGGAAGGTCCCCGCTGAGTCAGGGCAGCAGGACCAGGCTCCTCCCTTGCTGCAGCGTGACGGCGTGGGGACGCCTGCGTGGAGCAGGCAGGGACAGGCTGACTTCTCCCTCCCTGTTAACAAGGTTACGGAGCAAATCTGCTGAGATGCTTCACGGCTCCCGACGCCCAGGCACCGATGCAGAGACGACCACCTGCCCTGTCCTGCGTGTCCCCAGCTTCACTGGACGCTGCTGAAGAGCCACAGGAACTTGTTCCTATAGCTGAGGGGAACCTGCAGCCACTTTGCTGGGTCCCCAGGGTCCCCTCTCCAGGGGACTTTGCAAGATCCTCCTCCTCTCGCCCATGAACACCCAATTCCTCCTCCTCCTCACTTCCATGGGGCACAGCCACCCCAGCTGCCACAGGGCCGGGACAAAGCAGTTCTCCCTGTGCTGAGGGTGGGCAGCAACAATCCCAGCCCAGCTGAGATCCATCCTGAGCAAGGACCCCAGCAGGGTGCTGCCCTGCACCAGCTTGCAGCCGGCTTTGTGCTCCAGGAGCTCTCGAAGGACGGGGGACTCGGGCACACCCCTGTGTCTCTGCCCCAGACAAGCCACTGGGCTTCTCGGAAGGGTCCACGAAGGTTCAAACCAGGCCAGACCTCCTTTGTTCCCTGTTACAAGGCTGTTGGTTTTAATCAGGCCCTGTCTGGAGAATTGGGGAGGCTTTTCCCCCTCACCAGTCCCAAGGCCCCGTAGGATCAGGCTCTGCAGACCCTTATGGACTGTGAGGGACTCGCCTGCACCCCCTGGGGAGCACTGGGGCAGGAGCTGCCCCCCCACGAGCCATCGCCACTGTCACACACCCAGGAGACCCCTGTCACTCCCTCCTCCTCACACCACGAGGGCCATCCCCACGGAGCCGTGCTCCTCTGCACAGGGCTGGGAGCTGCACCCTGACACCTGTGTATCCCTGGGCCTGCCCAAGTGAACTTCACTGTGAGCCAGAGGGCCCTGGGGGACCTCCCCCTCTCCCAAGCGGGGCCGTGGGAACCCCCCAAGACCACCCTGCGCATCCCTGCAGCACTGCTGAGCAGGCAGCAGAGGTCCAGGCTTTCATCTCCCAGCCCTGCGGGGCAGGATCCCGGATCATGGGAATGCCAAATTGTGCAGCACAGGCGCCCCAGGCAGGGAATTTGGGACAGCACTGCCAGACCGGCTCAGACAGGCAGCTCATCCTTTCCAGCCCATTGCAGCAGGAAGCTGCCCCTCAAAAAAGCCGGCGAGCAGCATGCGGGGTGAGCCACACAGGACCGCCGGCACTGGTAGCCCTGCGCCGTGGCAGGGAGACGGCACCAAAAGCAACTCGTGGTATCTCCCCCCGAGCCCCGAGGCTGCGGTTTCTTCTGATCTAAGCATGGGTTGCCACCAGATGAGACACCTCGCTCCCACGCGAAGTGTCTTGCCACAGCGTGACCGAATGAGTTGAGCGTGGCACCGGCACAGCCGGTTCCAGTGGGTCTGCTGGCCCCTCTCAGTCGCGCTGCGGTCACCCAAGGGAGGTGGCGGGGTAGCCCCCACCCTCCAGGAATAACCCACGCTCCAGCCAGGGAGACGCAGCCTCCAGCCGTGCTGCTGGAGCAGACAGGGCCAGGCAGGGCGCTCTGCCCCCCACAGCAGGCAGCGCAGCCCCTGTGCAAGTCGTGATTCAGGACTTCCCCTTGGGTGCATACCAGGCAGCACCCAGCTGGGGCGGACGCGCGTGGGGAGCGGGGCAAGCAGAGCTCCAGCCACTTCCCTAAATCGAGGGTGCAGATCGAGCTCACACCGAGGCAGGGGGAGCAGCTGGCCCTGCCAACACCCTCCCTGACTCGCCAAGCAAAACTCTGGGGAGCTCAGCCACCTTATCAGGCTATCATTTGGTTGCATGAAGCGGTTGGCCAAGATAAATTCGGGATCAAGATAAGAGCACCCACACTACAACCGTCCTCTCTCCATGCTGGTCCACTCTGGACGAGCTGACGCTTGGGCGTTACCGTGCTGTTACCAGGAGGAACCATCGAGGGTCTTTATCTCTGGCTGTCACTGGACATTTCTTCACGCTAACTGCCCCGTTCCCCCTCCCCAGGGCTGGGGCAGGCTCCTGTGCTGGTGACAGCACCATTGACCTTCCTCCAGGTCACGCTGTCCCCTCACAGAGGGACCCCAATGCAGGAGTCCCCACCAGCCCTTGGATTTCATTGCAATTTTTGACCCCAGGGCACGATGCAAGAAGAATGCCTGTTAATAATTCACGCCGAACTGGTGCTTCCTCCGCATCCCCACGGGGCCCTTACTCACCGGGTGCCAGCTGCCTTCCCCGGGAAGCGCCGCCTGCAAAAGCGGGGTGCCCAGACACGGCCCTGCACCCCAGGGTCACCCATGGGGACAACCGGGAGCTGCCTGGCCACAGGCAAGTCCCTGGTGAACCCCCAGGCCCCTGGGAAAGCCCAGATTTGACTCTCGGTCTCATTTTTACTGTAGCGTCATCGGCTAAGCACACAGCTCTCACCCTGACTTGATGCTACCCCCAGGCAAGGGGACACAGGGACACCCCGCAGCGCCCCCCCCATGCAGGTATGGCCTGAGGGACAGCGGGGAGCCCAGGGGCTGTGGGTGCCCAGGCAGCACCCACCGCTGTGACAGTCACCCCAGAAAGCTTCCCTGGGGCCACCCCTCTCCACTTGGGGCATCCCAGAAAGACACCCCAGGTAACTCCACTCAGAGCACCCCAGGAAAGCACCCCCAGGGCTGACCACATACCCCAGAAAGACTCCTCCAGGGCCACCCATCTCCAACCAGGACATCCTGGAAAGGCACCCTTGGTCCCCCCAATTCAGGGCACCCCAGAAAGGCTCCCCTGGGGCCACCCCTCTCCACTCAGGGCATCCCAGAAAAGTACCACAGTTCTTCACCCATCCAGGGCATTCCCAGGGCTGAACCCTACCCCAGAAAGGTGCCCCGGAGGCTGACACCCCCTCACTCAGAGCACCCCAGAAAGGCACCTCCCTCCACTCAGGGCACCCCAGAAGGGCACCCTTGGTCCCGTCCCCTCCCAGGGCACCCCAGAAAGGCAGCCCGGCACTGCTCCTGCACCCCAGAAAGCCTCCCCCGAGGCATTCCTCTCCACCCAGAGCACCCCAAAATGGCATCTCCCTCCACTCAGGGCACCCCAGAAGGGCACCCTTGGTCCCGTCCCCTCCCAGGGCATCCCAGAAAGGTACCCCAGGACTGCTCCTGCACCCAGAAAGCCTCCCCCGGGGCCATTCCTCTCCACTCAGGGCACCCCAAAAAGACACCCTTGGTCCCGTCCCCTCCCAGGGCACCCCAGAAACGCACCCCGGCACTGCTCCTGCGCCCAGAAAGCCTCCCCCGGGGCCATGCCTCTCCACCCAGAGCACCCCAGCACCCCCCAGCACCCACCGGCGAGG